GTGTCTTTGTATGTATATGTGTGTTTGTGTGTGTCCATAGGTGTGTTTGTGTCTCTGTGATTGTCTGAGAGTGTGTGTCTGTGTATGTATGTGCGTGTTTATGCATATTTTAGTGTATGTGTGTGTGCATATGTCTGTGTTTGTGTATGTGTGTGTGTGTGTTTGTGTGTGCGCCTTTAGGTGTGTTGGTGTTAGGGATATGGAGAGTTTGTGTGAAGATGAAAAGCAGTGTGTTGTTGTTTTTCTGTGCACTTATGTATAATAAGATCTGAGCAATGCTCTTATGTACTGTGAATGCTGCAGTCTGACAGTATGATGTGACTGATCTGGGGTCTGTTGTGTTTGTGTGTGTGCGTGTTTCCTCAGCCTGGGTCGGTGCGCTGGCGATGGGCATGATCTTCTTCTGTTCTCCTGTGGTCAGTATGTTCACCGATCACTTCGGATGTCGGAAAACGGCTGTGTGTGGAGCGTTTGTGGCCTTCATCGGTCTCCTCACCAGCTCCTTCGCCACGTAAATACATGATTTTATTCCTTCTTCTCTTTCTGCCTCTTTTGCACGTTGTTTTGTGTCAATTATTTTGACCTTTTCATCTTTTATTTACAATATGAGTTAACATAATTTGTTCTATAGACAGTTGAAGTCAGAATTTTTTGCTCTTCTGTATATTATTTCCCAAATTTCTGATTAACGCAAAGAAGGTTTATTTCTTAGTGAGGTTCATTTCTAAACTAATGTCGAGAGGATCACATGCTTATGATTGATCACAGCTGGTCCCGCAATATTCAATTACTCATTATTCATGATTCACCAATCAGACGATTCCTAATCCACTATAAACACGTCAGTTCCATATCACAGCTTCATTTTGAAGAATCCCCCCTTCCCTACTCCTCCTGCTTTCCTAGATGGGTGGCACGGCGGCCCAGTGGTTAGCACTGTTGCCTCACAGCAAGAACATCTCTGGTTCTAGTCCTTACCAAGCCAGCAAACGTTTCTGTGCGGAGTTTACACGTTCTCCCCGTGCTCACCTGGGTTTCCCCTGGGTTCCCCAGGTTTCCTCCCACCATCCAAAAACATGCAGCTTAAGTTAATTGACTAATCCAAATCAGCACCATAGACATACTCCTAGTCAGTAGTTATCTCTTAAGAGCGATCACTATCTGTTCAGTAGCTACTACAGCAGGGGAGTTTTCCACATCTACCTTAGCTCAAACTCCCCTTTCGCCTCGAGCTCGAGGATCTTATGAGCTTAGGGCTTTCTCCTGGGACAGCATACCAAACACGCTTTATAATCAATCTTGTACGGACCGACATCCATTAGCCTATAAATAATTATTTTCATTTAAGCGCAACAATTCAAAACTATTTTCAATTCAGTTCTAATTTACAGCAAACAAATAAATGAACAATAAAAACAAAGTGTGTTATATCCAAACACACATGCTGTGCCCCACATGGGATAAAACCTGACAGGTGGGCAACTATAAGCTTGTTTTTAATAAAACAAATATAAATATGCTGATAATCAATACTACTGCTAATAATTATCCCACTATACAAAAGCAAATGTACTGCTGTACATCCTGTCTGTATTGAGCAGTGTGTAAGCGAGGCGCACAACTAACGCGCTCTGCGCTGGACTTTAGACCAGCTTTGTTCTGGTCTATAGAACAGTCTATTATAGTTTCTCAAAATAGCAATGCGCCTCAACACACCTCCTTTTTCAGACCAGAACGCCTATGGGTGCACATATAAGCGCAAATGCATTTGCTGTTTAAACAGCGTGCTGCAAAACGTCAAAATGACTCTCAAGCTGAAACTAGCAAACAACAATTGCGTTGTCCCTTGCGCCACATTGCGCCGGGTGAATGATAGAGTGCAAACAAAGACTGCTAAAAAACGTAGCTCCTGGGACGTATTTCACACTCTTCAGATATGTATACAGGGGTGCTTTTTCAGAATGAGCCTGGGTTGAATAATTTTGACTTCAACTGTATAACTATAAATTGCAATACAATCAGGAACTGAGCCATTGTTTCCTGTGAAATGACCCATGCACTGGGCTGTTGAGTTGACTTTAATCCTTTCAGCTTTATAGTGCATGTGTTTCTGTTCAGACGTCAGTGGTTCATTCATACGGTATATTCTCCACAGCCTCTGTCTGAGAGTTTCTCAATGATGCAGATGTTTCGTTATTGAATTAAAGCTGTATTGAGTTCAGTTCAGTCTTTGTGTGTGTGTGTGTGTGTGTGTGTATATGTGTGTGGATGTGTGTTTATAGAATGTTTCCGCCTCTCTTTATTCTCTGCTGGTGTTCATGTAGTCATGTCAGACATGTAAACATCCGCTCAACATAGATATACAGTATGTGTGTAATGAACAGCAAATCTACTATATTGTACAGTGTGTGCATCACTTTGTGCTCTTTTGCTAATGTTATGGTTTTAAGAAAGGGGATTTTTGAAAATGTTCATGATAATCCTAACATTTGAGCAGTGGTGGACAGAGTACTGAAAATTCATACTTCAGTAAAAGTACCATTACTTACCTAAAATGTAGTGCAAGTAGAGTAAATGGAGCTGTTTTAAATATTACTCCTCGTGTGAGTAAAAAGTAGACCCTTTAAAAGGACTACTCAAGAGTAGTGAGTCATATGTAGTAAAATTAATAATAGTAATTAGTAATTTGTGCATGTGTGTGTGTAAACGTATCATTCGGTAGTGCATCACTGCCCAGCAGACACACAACATCATAAGACGTTAACATTAGGTTGGATTTAGGTTGTGATGTCAAAATTCAATGTTTAGCCAGCGTCTAAGTAGAACATTATTCTGATGTTCAATAATGATGTCAAATGACGTTGATATTATGTCGATTTTAGGTAGCTAGAAAGTAACCGAAATACAACATCAAGCCAACATCTTAAACCAACGTCATATTGACATCAAATACTGACAATTATTCAGCATGTATGACCACCAAAATCCAACATCTGATAGACGTCATAGTGGTAACGTCCACACAACGTCAAGCTGTAACATCATTAGACGTTGATATTTGATTAGTTTTAGGTTGGACGTTGGACATTGACGTCGGCCTGACGGTGAGTTTTGATGTCAACATGATTTTCATTTCCTAGCAAAATGCAGCGTCCCCCCAATGTTGGGGTACAACATTAATCTGACGTCATGTTGACGTTCTGTGTCTGCTGGGTGTTTAAGGCCATTTACAGTAAACATCAAACACAGGCTCATTCTAAAAAAAATTTAGTCCCGCAGACGTTTTTGGAGACCGCAAATTACGTAGCCGGAGGTACGTATGGCTGCATTTAATTTTTTTTTAAGCGAATGCTACAGGGTGGTATGACTCCGTTCCTTTTGGCGCTTACCGGCTGACCGCTTGCCTCCATGTGGAGGGCTTTCCTGCTGCAACCAGTTTGTCCAGTTAGCTCGTCGTGTATGTTGGCAGACTTGAGACGCAGAGAGAAGTTGACCATGACGATCGAGTCCGGGAAAGAGCTTTTCCAGAAATCAGGTACAAAAACAGAAGCAAAACAATTAAACGAATGAGTGAATAACAGGGTGAGAATGTAGTAAAATCCGGTAACGTGGTAAAAATTAGGGGTTTTCTTTTTCTGGGGGGCTTTTGTAAACCATCTGCGGCCGGGCGGGTCAATCAGGAAAATTACTTGGGTTTGGTGGAGGAGGATGGTGGGTCAGTCAATTGACCAGTCAGTCATTCAGTCAGTCGACAGCGGCCTCCGGTGGGTTCACGCGAGAACAGCACGGTCGCGAACGGCACTCGCGAGAGGCATTTGAGATGCGAAAAAGCGCAAACAGTGGCCTCTCGCGGATAAGCAGAAAACAAAAACTGCAAAAATATGTACCCCCCAGGACGTATTTCGCGGTCTCCGGAATTGTCTACAGGACTACGTTTTCAGAATGAGCCTGGGTTGTAAACATCCATCATCTTCTCATCAGTGACCTGCATCTAAACAGTCTCTGGGTCAACGCGTGTAAAGATTTTGGACATCTTCTTGGACACTTTTAATGCTTCCAAACAGTTTGCTGCAATTAAAAAGTGCACACGTCTTGAGGTAGATTCATTCATTATGAGGCGATTTACCTTCTATGTGTGATCTGATTGGACGGAAATCACAGGATTATTCTAATCCCCATAGACAAGAAAAAATACAGTAGTGACTGCAGGTTGAAGGACAGTAGTGGAGGAAAAGTACCGATATTGCACTAAAATGCACTCAATGGAAAAATACACATTTATGCAACCCAGGCTCATTCTGGAAACGTAGCCCCGCGGACGTTTCTGTAGACCGCGAAATACGTCCCGGGAGGTACATATTTGTGCAGTTTTTGTTCCATGAGAGGCAGCTGTGCGCGCTTTTTCAAGTTTTAAAGGGCTCTTGCGAACGCGTGCCGTTCTCATGTGAAATGCTGTCGAGTTTTCGGATTTTGCCGAACGAACATTTAAACGAACTCGTTCGCTTTATTTTTGGGATTCTGTTTTTTGTCTTACCTGATTTCTGGAACCGCTCTTCCCCGGACTCGAACCCGGTCATATGCCGTGGCTGGCTCCTCCTCTTCCGGACCTCTGCTCCGCCGACGTAACACGATGAGCTAACTGGACAAATTGGTTGCAACAGGAAAGCCCTCCACATGGAGGCAAGCCATCAGCCCAGCCGACGAGCACGAAGAAGAGGAGCGTTCACTTGAAAAAATGTAATGCAGCCATTTGTACCTCCGGCCACGTAAATCCCGGTCTCCAGAAACGTCCGCGGGGTTACATTTCCAGAATGAGCTTGGGTTGCATACATGAATAAACTTAGTACATTACAATTCCTAAGAAAAACTACTCAATTATTTACAGTCGTTTGAGTATTTGTAATTAGTTACTTTACGTTTACTGCATTTGAGTCCTGGTGAGCACATTCATAACAGGTTAAAAACTGAAATACTATTCTTAATTAATTACCCTCATGTTGTTTCAATCTCCCGAGACCTTCATTCTTGTTGAAGGTCATAGACAGAAGATAGTGAGTGCCCCCGAGACATTTAAAGTCCAGAAAAACACCAAAAAAACTCCTCAAAACAGAGCATGTTCTCTTCTGAAATCCTTTGAATTTAAAGAGACAGTCACCAAAATGCCACAATTAGGATTAAAGTCTAAAAGGGTCAGTTTCAGAGAGTTAGAAAACATCTTGTAGAAAGAAGCATAACAGATCCACTTTAACTTAAAGGGCAATGAAACCCCCTCGTTTCAGCAGGGTGTTTTCACATCTCTACTTTAGAGAAAGTCAGAAAAGTGGGCGTGTCCAGCTCTGTTTAGGGGGGAGTGTAGGTGGAAGAAATGAGGCTTGGTGTGGGAGGGTCTATTTGGGCGCGCTGAATTTCAGTCAAAACACACCCACAGGGGAAAAAGTGACGGTGTGTACATGGACATCTGTAGTCGAATTATTTGCCAAATGATTAAATGGTGGACTTTAACTGCAGTTTGGCTCTTTCATTCAGGGAGTTCATTCATGTCCCTCGCGACAAACGAGATATTTGATTCGAGGAACTGCTCTAAGCGTGTATTTTCATGCAATGTTTGATACCGCACGGCGAATGAGAGAAAAAAAACTCAGCATTTCCCGGAAACTTGGATGCACACGGCAGGTTGTGTCAGAAAGCCGCGTGTGTTATTCCGGTCACAAAATCCAACACGAGGTTATAGTTTGGTTGTAACTGTTGTAACAAGTGCTAACTTGTTTACACTCGGTGCAATAGTATGTTTGATACGAATAAAATACGAACTGAATAAACAAATGACAGATGAGAACAGCGCTCAGGTAAACAATAATCCTCCTTAGACACGTAAGTTATTGTTGTGGAGCGTCGCGTACACTGTTAATCCACACGTGACTCCAGCTGAGCTCTCACAGAGAGAAAATGAAAACAAAACTTCACTGCAGCAAACTATAAAAGCAACACTTCACGCTTGTTTTGCCAACACAGCGTGGCGTCTCTGTCGTCTAAACACTGTGACAGTAATGAATATTAATGAAGTTGCACAATAGAGCGCACTGATTGGTTTAAACCAAGCCTTACTCATGCATTAATGCAGCACACTTTAAGACGTAATAAGACTCACTCTGGCACAGACGTCCAGTCTGCACGCTGGAATACACGCTATTATGTCATGACCGTGACGCAGCTTCAAAAATTCGTTTCAAACAGGAAGTACGAATTTGCTTGAAATAACGCAAAAACAACCAATTTACACTTTTTAGTGAAATATAGGTGTCCTAATAGTGTTTTTAGCAGTGTGGGACACATATACCACTGTCAACAGCTCAACACATGTGTTTTGGTGTTTCGTGACCCTTTAAAAAGTTGCTAGTTGAATCCTCATCATCAGTTTCTGTGTTCCTCCTTGTTTCTCCAGGACTCTGGGTCTCTGGTACTTCACGTATGGGATTCTCTTCGGCTGCGGCTCCTCGTTTGCATTCCAGCCATCTCTGGTGATCCTGGGTCATTATTTCCGCCAGCGTCTGGGTTTGGCGAATGGTGTGGTGACGGCGGGAAGCAGTCTGTTCTCCATGGGGCTGCCGGTGCTGTTGAAGAAAGTGGTGGAGCCGCTGGGTTTGCCCAGAACCTTTCAGATCCTCAGTATCTTCATGCTGGTGCAGGCGCTGCTGGCCCTGGCCTTCAAACCGCTCCTGCCCAGCGGCATGTGCCCGATGCCTGGCATGGCGCTGGACGGAGGGCCCTCGACTCCAGAGTCGGCCAGCAGGTGGCAGAAGGGACTGGCCAAAGTAAGGAGGTACTTCAACGTGCGGGTGTTCAGCATTCTGACGTACCGCATCTGGGCCTTTGGCGTCGCCACTGCTGTGCTCGGATACTTCGTGCCCTACGTTCACCTGGTGAGTCCTGCATTCACATCATAATAATAAACTTTATTTTATACACTAAAAAAGACGTTTCAACTTGTTTCAACTTGGGTTGTTTCTAGAAGGGCATCCGCTGCATAAAACAAATGCCAGAGTAGTTGGCGGTTCATTCTGCTGTGTAAGCCGAAGGAAAATTAATAAATGAATAAGATATATATATATATATATATATATATATATATATATGGGCGTCCCGGTGGCGCAGTGGGTAGCACAATCAACTCAAAGTAAGAAGGTCGCTGGTTCGAGTTCAGGCTGGGTAAGTTAGCGTTTCTGTGTGGAGTTTGCATGTTCTCACCATGTTGGCATGGGTTTCCACCAGGTGCTCTGGTTTCCCCCACAGTCCAAACACATGCGCTATAGGGGAATTGATGAACTAAATTGGCCATAGGGCATGAGTGTGTGTGTGAATGAGTGTGTATGGGTGTTTCCCAGTACTGATTTGCGACTGGAAGGGCATCCGCTGTGTAAAACATATGCTGGAATAGTTGGTGGTTCATTCTGCTGTGGCGACCCCTGATTAATAAAGGGACTAAGCCGAAGGAAAATAATAAATGAATAAATTAATGAAAAATATATATATATTAATATATGAATTTATTATTATTATTTAATAAATTTAATTATTTATTATTTATTTATTATTATTATTATTTTTTATAGAGTCATTGGTCAATTTCACAGTAATTGTTAATTGCATTTTTATTTTTTAAAATATCTAAGTAATATTTACTTTATGACTATAAATATGCTGTATATTATAACCATTATATTACAGTTAATGAGAATAATTTCATACATTTATGTGTTTCTAATCTTTTTTTTTAATT